ATGGTTAATCAGTTTAATACGTCGGCTGTCGCGACCAATATTATTCATAAATAAAGATTGTTGGGTTAGATCGCGCAGATATAAAATGTGTCGTAACTCTTCACCACCCGACACAGTCAGTAAGGTTTCTCACGTAAACAAAACGTGCCAATTAAATGTTGATGATTTACTCTCCAACACATCGGTTGGACTATAGTAGTAAACTAAATGCGCGATCTAACCCCAAAAACCTCTATTATGAATGGTTCACAAGCACATTCAATTTCGATTTAAAGCTTTCGTGACTGCAGGGATTCATCTTGGTTCTTTCGGTAAAGTCACGTAGAAGGGAGATAATACAATTATAATAATAAAATTGTATTATTTAATTATGTTTTATTTTTATTATTTTATTATCTCCCTTCTACGTGACTTTACCGAAAAAACCAAGAAGAAGCACATTAAACTTGCAAAGGGAGATAATAAAATAAGAATAATACAATTTTATTATTTTATTATGTTTTATTTATTTTATTTTATTATCTCCCTTCTACGTGACTTTACCGAAAGAACCAAGGAGAAGCACATTCAACTTGCAACCCAGAGGTTGGCTGATTCGATCCCTATCTCGAGGCGTGGTCGTTGAAACAATGGTGCGGGTTTATTCATGTCACCCCCAACCAGCTGTCCACGTGGCAACACCGCAGTTAGTCGGTCGGCAAAGGAAGGTCGTAAACGGCGGGGCAAAGTGTGGGATTACTCCCACTCTTCTTCCAAGACGTCTGGCCAGTGTGGACGAGTCGGCCGAATGCCCTCTAGGGGCCGTCCATAAATGGCGTCACGCACCTAGGGGGGACATTTGTGACGATGTGTGACGAGGGGGGGGGGGTTGAGAAATGTGATGTCACATCAAAATGCGCAACTTTAAATAAATATAGACAACACGTTCTACTTAATTAAATAGCCTTTTTAATAAATGTCTTCTCCTACAACATGAAAGTGCAGCGCCACATTAAATATGCACTACAATGACAATAGTTTAAAGCGATTTGAAGCATGTTTTATTTGGGGGGGGGGGTATACAATCGTCCAAAATCGCGTGACGTCATTTATGGACGCACCCCTAGAGCTCCTTCGAGTGGAGCCTTTTCCACCAGCAGCTGCGTTAAGAAATACTTTCAGGGCTGCACTTTAAAAAAAAAATGTGTACACACGTACAATCCACCATCGGGGCTCTTTGACCATACTTCACCACGCTGGTCAATGCGGTGTTTTTTTTTTACATGGAGACAATAGACCAGGGGCCGGCAGCCATGCGGTTTCGTGACATAATGTGTTTTGGTTTGACGATCACTGCAATCGACACAAAGTACACAGTGAACGTACGCACATTAATCAACCAAACTACTTTCCGTTGGATTATATCTGTCGAACATCTGTGGAGGGAGCTGAAGGTTCGAGTTGCCAAACGTCAGCCTCGAAACCTTAATGACTTGGAGAATATCTGCAAAGAGGAGTGGGACAAAATCTCTCCTGAGATGTGTGCAAACCTGGTGGCCAACTACAAGAAACGTCTGACCTCTGTGATTGCCAACAAGGGTTTGGCCACCAAGTACTAAGTCATGTTTTGCAGAGGGGTCAAATACTTATTTCCCTCATTAAAATGCAAATCAATTTATAACATTTTTGACATGCGTTTTTCTGGATTTTGTTGTTGTTATTCTGTTTCTCAGTGTTCAAATAAACCTACCATTAAAATTACAGACTGATAATTTCTTTTGTCAGTGGGCAAACGTACAAAATCAGCAGGGGATCAAATACTTTTTTTCCCTCACTGTAGCCAGTGAGGTTCTTTGAGACCGATAACCATGCAGCCCGGCCACCTGGGTTCGATTCCATGCCACAACTAACGCCACGAACAGGCGCTATGTGAACAGGTCCTGGGGCCTTCCATTCACTAACCCGCACTGGTCGGCGTGGTGAAGTATGGTTAACCAATCTCCATGGACCACCCGGTGAGTGGGGAGGCCTTAAATGCAGCAGTCTTGACAACGGGTTATTTATATTTCGATTTAAAGCTTTCGTGACTGCAGGGATTCATCTTCTTGGTTCTTTCGATAAAGTCACGTAGAATGGAAATAATAAAATAATAAAAATAAAACAAAGTAAATAATAATTTTTTGCTCGCTTTATTTTAATTCTTTTATTATTTCCATTATACATAATAAACTAAATAATAACTTTTATTATGCTTTATTATTATTATTTTATTATTTCCATTCTGCGTGACTATATTAGATTATCTTACCATAAACGGGACAATATTCAGATATATTTTTTTACTTCGTTGTTGACATCAATGCTTCAATGAAGACCAAATTAGAAGGTTCTCATTGCAGTATTGTCTTGGACTATTTCAGACAAATATTGGTACCACTAAACTTTTGCAACCTCTGGTGTAACCGATTTATGCGCTGACACGTCAAGCAGTCACGATGGGCGGTGCCCATCTCTTTAGGCAAAAACACAAAGTTAGCAGTGGATATTCCACATTCCGAGAACGTTGGGTCGTTTACAAAACAGATGACCTTTTATAACCTAAGCCAGGACCTAATTACACAGAAAACCACATATCCTTACGTGGAAGAAAGCATGAAAAACTTAGATTTGTTTTTATTTACGCACAAATAAGAATATTAAATAGCAACGTTTTGTTGTCATGTTTAAAAACATGCCGGGCAGGGCACGTCGCTGTAAGGGATGATGACAGATGGTCGATGCTAATAATGGAGTGGCAGCCAAAGGAGAGAACACAGCCGAGAGCACGTCTTCCACGGAGATGGAGCGATGAGATCAGCTCGATACAGGCGCTGGATGGATCTTACTATCGCCCAGCTGGAGAGGTGTTCATTCAGCAGTGGATAGATCAATGCCGTTTGTGATTTAAAGCTTTCAATTACTGTACAGTGAACCTTGGGGGCCGTCCATAAATGACGTCACGCACCTAGGGGGGGGGGTCAGACAGTTGTGACGATGTGTGACGAGGGGGGGGGGTTTGAGAAATGTGACGTCATATCAAAATGCGCAACTTTAAATAAATATAGACAACACGTTCTACTTAATTAAATATACTTTTTGATAAATGTTTTCTCCTACAACATCACAGTGCAGCGGCACAATAAATACGCACTACAATACCAATAGTTTAAAGCGATTTGAAGCATGTTTTTTTGGGAGGGGGGGGGGGCAGAGCTTTGTGACGTCATATTTGAGGGGGGGGGTCTGACTTTTTGTGACGCCGTGTGACGAAGGGGGGGGGGGGTCAAACATCGTCCAAAATCTTGTGACGTCATTTATGGACGGCCCCTTGATGGACGACCCAAGACGGTCAGCACATCTTCCCGAGAGGGGTAGATAAAAGTAGTAATTTGTGGGATATCAACACGTGTCTTGCCGTGTAGATATACTTGTCCCGGGCATTGAAACGTGGAATTCCCATCACTCCAGGTTACAAGACCACCTTTTTCCGTGTACAGTATTTTTTAAGGCAAAAATGAGGATGCATCTTATAATCTGTGAGTGTCTGTGCGTATAACAAGATGTGTATAACTTTATTGACACTTGGGACAAGTTTTGGATGCTTCTAGCTTGCCGGGGCATTTTATAGTCGAGAGAATACGGTCATGTCAGGCATATTGCCTCAATTAGGCCTATATGCTAAGTGGTGGGGAGTAGAAAAAATAAATTGTGCTGTACTATGATTCCACGTATGTGCTCTTCGTCTTCACCCGGATGAGGTGTGGCTCAATAAACCCCACCACGGCGGCCGACACGACGTGGATGGGGAGGCCCCTCATCCAGCAGTGGATTGAGAAACGGGCTGCACATGTACATATCGGTTGGCGATACCGTGCTGGCAGTGTGGCACAGCCAAAAAAACGTTCATCGCAACACTATTTTCACGAAGGGTCATTGCCCGAAACGTCACCTATTGTTTTTATTTTAAGTCAGTGTTGAGGAATGTTTTTTTAATATATTAATATCCACATTGCCGACACGTGTACGTATTTGGAATATTTGTGGATTTGTATGTTTGCTTAAATGTTTGAATGTTGAACATATGTTTGGTATATTGAAACCATGTGCAGTATTGCTAGGCAGGCACTTAAAGCAACGATGGCAACAACGGTCATACAACGCAACGTCTTCTCTAGTCCGTGGTGCTGACGTTAAGAAAAAAACGCCACTTTTTTCAAATTTTCTTGCTGTGGATTTCACACCTGATGATGATTGCTTGTGTTGCAGTCTAAACGTCGTGAGAATTTTATTGTTTTATATATTTTTTATTTTATTATTTCACTTCTCCGTGACTTTACCGAAAGAACCAAGAATATAAGATACAAGTGGTTTCGTTTTATTTTTTTTAAAATGTGTGTTTTGTTTACCTTTATATACTTTGCACTCCTATCGTTTTTTTATTTTTTGTTGTAACGTTATGGCCCCGTGCCCCTACTGAACATCTGTGAAAAAATAACTAATCGGATTCCTCTAATATAAAGTAAATATTCTGATTCTGTTTACAGTTGAACAGATTATTTGGAGATGCGCCGTTCGTTGGCAGTGGCACACAAGCACAAATAAAACCTCAGCACATTCGTCAACATCACTGTAGCTTTAAAATAAATAATAGGCGACGTTTCGGGCCACGACCCTTGTTCCCACCAAATTGCTTGTTATGACTCTGGAGTCAAAAACAGCCACGTGCTCCACATGCTTACGTAACGCCACGCCCACACGCGGTCACGTGAACAGCCACCGCTTCCACATTTCATAGCGCGCATGAGCAGCCCGGGTGGGGTGGGCGGCGACGCGCGGGGGGGCGGGGGGGGGGGCGGTGTTGCTTTAGACCAATCGGATCGCGAGCCAGCGCCGCCGAGAAGCTCTCTCAACCAATCGGATCGCGCGGCAAACAAATTTTTGCCGGCACCGCCCTAATGCGGACTACGGAATGCATCTGTGACGTCACCGGAGAAGTTGATAAATAGCGGAGGCGCGCGCTCGTGCGGTGGTTGTGGCTTTTGTTGTTTTTGTTGTTGTCGTCGCTTTGAGAACAACGAAAAGTTTCACGTTTTTTGTCGTTTGTCTCTCGCGTCGAGGATGGCCTCGGCGTCCCTACTGACGCCGCTCCTCGTGGGCCTGCTCGCCTTCGCGACGCCCCTTCAATCGCAGCGGCAGCAGCAGCAGCGGTACGGGCCGGGTCACGGAGGCGCTCCCGTCGTGTTGGGTACGTAGTCGTCGTCGTCTGCCCGCCCGCCTGCCTAGACAGAAGGCGCGCGCTCTGCGTTGGTGGCGGTGTTGGTTGGGTGTTTGTTGTTGTTAGGGAGCGGTGGCGCATCGGTGAACAGAGTTCGATTACGGATAACGACCGCGTTCGTGGGCTCTCGGGGGCGGTATCGGCTTTGTGACTTGACGCATTCAATGCGTCCGTCCAGTGTTGAGAGAGAACGTCGCCCGCGGCGGTGCTGGGGAGACAAAGAGCGCCCAGCGGGATACAAACACCGGGGAAGAGAGGAGCAGGTCGCGGGGGGCTTGAGCCCCCCTTTGTTCTAGCGTTATAGGCTAGCCTCGTCGTTTTGTAATTCGTAGCCCGGATACGCCCCCCCCCCCGCCGGCGGCCGTCACGCGAGAGGTGATTGGTTGCTGACGAGAGGGGGCGTGGCCAGGGCTGCCGCGGTAGCCAATGACGCGGGGGCGCTCAGGTGCCGAGTCGCCTATCCGCGCTACGATTTAAAAGACGCGAATGTTACTTGGGTTTACAATATTCACTGTTAAAGCGCCCGGGACATACAGTACTACATTACAGTCTATATATATATACACACGTTCCTCCTGCGGAGGGAGCTGGTAGGAACGTTGGGTTGCTCGGTCAATGGCCTGCAGGGTCAACGGCGGCGTGGTGTATTCCGCAAATATGCCCGACTGTGAGGGCGGGCACAAGCCGGCGTGAGTAGGTTAAACGTTGAGTGTTATAAGGGCACCACGGGGTGACCAGCCCCTCCCCACCCAGCCCCACCACTCCCCTCCCCTCCCCACCCAGCCCAGCCCCACCCAGCCCCTCCGCCCCTCCCCACCCAGCCCCACCCTTCCAACCCCCTACCCAGCCCCACCCTCCCCACCCAGCCCCTCCCCACCCAGCCCCACCCCTCCCACCGCCCACCCAGCCTCACCCTCACCACCCAGCCCCCCTCCCCACCCAGCCCCTCCCCACCCAGCCCCACCCTTCCAACCCCCCCCTTCCAACCCTCCACCCAGCCTCACCCTCCCCACCCAGCCCAGCCCCACCCTCCCCACCCAGCCCAGCCCCACCCTCCCCACCCAGCCCCTCCCTGCACGACGGACACAATAATCCCCTGTGGGCTGGTGTACCCAGGAGGTTCCTACCAGTATATACACCGTGTTAGTTTAACACGTAGTCTTGGGCTTTCGCCACCAATATCATCCATAATACAGGGGGGGGGGCGGTTTGAGTTAGGTCTCGTAAATATATAAATGTGTCGTTAAACCCGCCACCACCCGACACAGCCAACTAGTAACAAGGTTTGTCACGTAAACAGAACGTGCCAATTTGTGACTACAGTACTTGTGTCGGAGACTTAAACCAATTAATTCCAATTAGTCCGACTTAACCCGATCTAACCCAAAATACAGCTAAACCTGGATTACTGATTGTGACTGTAAATTGTATTATTGTTTCATTCGTTGAGCTCTCGTTTATGGCAAAGGTTGCTTCTGAAATAGAAGCTAATGGATCTCGGTGGGCTTTGCCCGATCAGATAAAAAAAATAGTTTTATTTGTGTATTTATTAAAGTTATTTGTTTATCTTTCCATTACTGTGCATTTTTATCGTGTTTGCTGTAACGTTCTGACCCGTCCCGATTGGATGTCTGTGAAAAAGAGCTTTATAGGTCATCGGATTTCCTCCAGTTATACATACATATGATGATCTCATCATTTACTTGCAATTGCCAATAGTTGTATCCGTATATTTTATTTGCTAAATTAATTTAACTTCAAGAGTAACAGCCGAAGGCCAAATCTTCTAGAATGTGTCATATCCATGTCTGCGGCTTGCATCAGCTCGCACAGACCGGCGTGGTGAAGTATGGTCCCCCCACGTCCTGCACTGTGTGGGGAGGCCCTCATCTTGCAGTAGAAAGAGAAAATAATTATATGCATGTTACGAGAACTCGATGGTACATTTATATTTTCGATGACCTGTAAACCAAAATCAAATCGGGGACAACTAGTGCTGTACTGTACGTGCATTGCCATAATCTACAATGATCGTGTGATGCATCACATGCTGTTGTACTATTACCATGGTAATGTGTAACAGTAATTGTATTAATATGATACGTTCATGATAGATTACAGCTCTTTGTCGATAAACTGCTGGATGAAGGCCTCTCCCCCGGCCTGTGGGAAATAGAGCAATATTAATTCCAATATTGCAATTGTTCGTTAGTGTCACAGTAAGTGTAGATACGGTAATAGCGTAATGTTAATATCGCTGTAACATTACTCACACATTTAACACATTGGGGGGAACATGGACACTGACAACATGGAACAGCTGACAAGCACGCCAATAAGCACAGCGAAGATGTATGCCGGGAATGACCCCAAGAATGCTTCGAGATTTAATTCCGACTGTTAAGAGTAAGTGTGCTTCGGCAGGACACGTCACCAAAGTGGCCTCGACATTTAAAACTCTTTTAAAACTGCTTTTTGTATTTAGTTTGGTGTCCTTTCAACCCCCGCGCACCTCCGATTAGCACGGTTGGCTACGTACGGTGCGAAAGAAGTTGAACTTACATATTTTAGGACCGAGTGGGGCAGCAACACCCGACACAATAGATATGAAGCAATGAGACCAGCTCGTGCAGAGAATCGAGATGTGTTTTTTTTATTTCCATGGCAAGACCTTAAGGGATGGGGACAACTTGGGGAAGCCTTCATCCAGCAGTGGATAGATGATGGCTGCTGATGGTTATTAATTTACAGATCTCTATGATGAAAGCATCCCCCCCCACACCATTTTTGGCTTTGGGCGTAGTGTGGCCTATACGTTACGCTGAGCAGTGCCAATTTGGTGAGTAATAGTACGGGAATATATTGGCAAGTACATTTAATAATATGTGGTAATACAGTATTCGCATTATTGTAATGTATGTTCTAGAAAAGAAAATATCTTAAATTTTTTCAGAAACTTCCTGTATTAGGATGCTTGCCCACAAAACCATTTTAACGAGTGTAAATTGTAACACGATAAAATGTTCTGATACATGACACCTTGTGTTTGTTATTACGTTTTTGAGTACGCTATATATATCCCTGTTTCATATTACTGCATTGTTACGGTCTGAATGTGTGATTATAATTGTACAGACAGTGGTTCTATTGTAAAAGTACACGGTGGTGTGTTCTTGATACACTTAAGACGCACAGGCTCTTTGACAAGCTAACTTGCCGCTCACTCATTGCTGCTAGGCATTAGGTGGGACGCGAATGGCCAGACTATTTCGAACTCGGTCAGTAAACAACACTGCACTGCCCAGAAGCCCAATGGCATTCTTAGCCAAAAGCAATCTATAATAATGTCCTTTATGGCATTCCCATTATCTACACCTATTGCCCACTTCAAAGTAAACAGAGCAGAGAAAGAAAGGTTTATGATCCTCTGGTTATATAACAGCTGATAATGCCATCAGCCCCTGGCACTTGCTGCCATGCGAGGTGAACGCCTGATGGGTAAAGTGATTAATCATTTGATGGGGGGGGGGGGTCTGCACATTTCTAAGTATTATCAACGGTTAACATAACAACGTCAAGCTGCCGTTTGTGCATGTATCTGGTGCAAGTCACCCCCCCCCCCCCCACATCGTGAACTGTGTTGGCCTTAATATGTGCTCGCAAACAGGACCTGCCCCAACAGTGTGTTGAAGGGTACAGGACATTGTTGTCTTTGTACAATGTGTTGGAGTGAAAATACAATTGGGAGAAGGCCTCCCTTGGTCATGGCATATAATCTGATTGTTTTCCTTTCTGATAAATTAAAAGTGTAATATTTGAATAGTTGATACCCTGGCGTTAATTTAATTTAACCTCAAAACAGGATGTTTTTTTTCTTGTCTTACCCACACAGTAGTTCCTCATCATGACTGTGCAAAGTGCAGATAAATACGTTTATGTTTTACGCCATACGATATTACTCAAGGCAATGATATACTTTTATGAGTTCGGTGTCATAATTGTCCATTTTATTTCACTCGGAAGTAAATGATTTCAATAGATGAATATTAACGTTTCATCAATACTATTGGTATCTGTCTTTCGTAACTCAAATAGAGCAGCGCTCAAATTAAAGCTTCTTTGAGCGTAATTGTATTGGCACAAACTATGAATGTTTGGCAGGGCTTACACCAATGGACAATGCCAAATCTCTCTTTTTAAATCTTGCCAAATCAAACAGAATTGTGCTTTTTTACATTGTGTGCGTTACAGTTCCTTATCCAAAACTCTCTGTAAATACAGTATTTTTATCTTTTGCCAATGCATGAACTTAACAAAAGTCTTGTTGCCTTTGGCCATTCGTTGGTGTTGATGTTTTGTTCTCAAAAGGCCTCCCACCCATTCAAAGAGGCCACTACACCCACAGCCCGTAAGGTGTGCGTACCCATGTGTATGCTCCCCACTCTCTACCCTCCATCCTGATTCCTCTGTCGCTTTCAAATGTTGTGTGGAAGGCACAGTTGGATCGATTGGAATGTATTTTTTATAGAGTACTGTGCTCGTTTCTTGATATTAGATTTCGATGATAAAGTCAAGTGATTATTGTGGCCAGTAGGCATGTATTCATTCACCCCCCTCTCTCCCCCCCGTAGTTTCAGTAAATGGTCACAATTTAGGGTGACGATGCTCTTCAATAATGATTTTTAAAAAACTGACTTAATGGTTATTGGTTCTAATTTAGTTTGTCTTGATCGTACAGTTTTGGTAACTGCATTAGCCTCAACATACACACAGAAACACAATTCAATGTATATATCATGAGCATAATAATTGACTTGAATCGATGCACCGTTACGTTCCAAGGGACTAGCAAGTAAAACGGGGATATATCCTGAGCACTATATCAATGTTGTTTCTGTTCACACTTGCGTGCCTCCTTTAACCCCGTAGCAATCTGTCCTTCACCCTTGTGTCTAATTCCCTTTCTATGCATGTATTTCCCCTGTTTGTTTGTACCCTGACCTCTGTACCCACGCGTGTTCCTCAAATATCTCTTATCTTTGGCTCTAACTTGCTTTGTAACGTCAGATGCTCTCTAAACTACATTTTGTCAACAGGTTGTGTACACACAACACACAGTGGCCATTCTCTCTTGCCTGTGGCTTGAAGAATGTCAACTTATGAGTTTGAGCTCTAAAATTACTTTGGTTTCTGTGAAATGGATCTCTTAAAATGATGTTTTGGAATTGTCGGTGTTCATTTCTTCACTTTGTGGTCTACGTTGTGGTCGGTGTTTCTGCAAAATCCCACTCGGGCTCTTTGTGACTTTCCACTCATGAAGGTGCGTTGGCAGATCTTCCACGTCTTCCTCTTCTCTTGTCCTGCTACACCGCAAGTCATATGTTCATCCAGTATCAGTCATGTGACGATGCCGTGGCCCGGTCTGTAGCCCCTGGTGAGAGGTCCTCCGAGGTGGACAACTCCTGGAGGTGCCCATGGTCCAAGACATGCTCCGTGCTCTCTGAGTTTCACCACAGTCACATGGTTCACTGTCGTTAAGAGTAAGCCCCCATTTCCGCATGTTGACCCGTGCCCTGCCGGCTCTCATCCGAAGGCGATTTAAAGATATCCAGGGTGACCAATTTTTCATTGCGCCCAGCCCAAGATGTGCGGATTCAATTGAATGTGCAACCTGTTGACTGTTAAATGCTCACAGCTTGTGTTCTTGCCCACTTCTTTAGTGCAGCGGGGGCAATGGATCCGCTTCAATTTTATGTTTATATTGAGGTTGGCGAGTCTGTGCAAAGCTGCAGGTGTAAACCCATGAATATCTTAAATGCTGCCAGCGAATAATGGAATTTTATTACACTTGTTTACCCAGGAAAGCCTCGCATAGTCTCGCGACTTTTTTCAGGAGGGTCTTGCAAAGTTTTTGTATTAGGGATGATAATTACTTTGTATATTCCAATTGGGTCATTTTCCGGTGACTTTTTGTGAGGTGGAATATTGTTCACTACGCGGTCCCACGGTTTGAGATTGGTGGCCGCCGTCTCCACTGTGGGTTATTCTTGATCGTCCATTGGTGTAAGAAACAACTGCAACACCCCTGCCCATCTCACCCCCCACTCTGTCTTCAGTTCCAGGTGACCTGGGAAATCAGCTGGAGGCTCGTCTGGATAAGCCTACCGTCGTCCACTACCTGTGCACAAAAAAGACCGACTACTACTTTACGCTGTGGCTCAACCTCGAGCTCCTCGTCCCGCTGGTGATCGACTGCTGGATCGACAACATGCGGTACCCAGAGGGCCGATATGTCGCACTTCCATCAGTGAATCGTTTCTGATATATAAAATATTTCTCGTAACATTGGGATAAAATCATACACTGAACCACCGAAAAACCCAACCGAGTTTTTGTTTGCTCGCGTAACAAATAAAACGAATGCTGCAACTAGGTGAGATGTTACAGAATTGTTTTAATCGGGGGGGGGGGGTAGACAGGGGAAGAGAACTGTAGGAATGTAATCATTAAGATAATTTCATTCAGCCGTCGAATGATATGAGGAATCAAATATCTTCAAAAGATTTTAGTGGTGAATTTTAAATAATACAAATAAAATGGCCTTTATTTGCCCAGGAGAAGCTTACTGAAAGTCAAAGCGTCGTTTCAGGAGGGTCTCGCACTGGGACATTTTACCAATTTAGTTCATTAATCGAGCGTTTGGTGTGCGGGAGTACGCGTATGTGGGAATAACGCCTAAAGCTCCTCACAGATTAAAGAATCCATTTCTTTCCTGCAATCTCCTGGTCCCACCCCGCAACCAAATCTTACAACACTTGGTATTTCCAAGCGGTCTCCGATCCATGTATGAGCCAGATTAAATTTTCCTTAGTGGCTGAGATTGTATATAATTGGAGCTATTCAGTCTGATTCGGTAATTTGAATGAATGCTGATGAATAGACAGAATTGTCTGATGCACATGACAATCTTACAATGGTTTTTTTTCTGTCTTACAAAAGATATTTATCTTTAAAAAATAAATTGACTGTTAAATTTAACATTTGTGAAATCTCATCCTTGGCATCTTTAGCAATTCACCTATTCATATAGTTGATTTTAAAGGACCTTAAGTCTGTCACCACTATGCTAACCAATAAATAGCGATATGTGGGAAGTTTAGTCCTGTTGCTCAAGATATTGTGGTCCACGTCTGCTTTCAATAATGCAAGGCAATTGAGAAACAGGATATTGCTTTATACAAGTATCCCTACCACGTCAGCCGGGAAATAACCAAACGACAAAACGCTGGTGACATTTCGTAAGGTTTTAGTTTTTTTTTTCTCCAGGAAATGCAGCCCCGGACGAAACAACCAGGCATTGGAGATCCGTATTATCTATGCTGCTTGTCCTACACTGTCCAACATGATTTTGAAGCATCAATAATAAGAAGGACCTTAAATTGAATTTCAAGTGCGCCGCCATAGCACTAGCGACTTATGAGCTGTGTGGCTAGTGTACCTTTTAATTCGTCGCTGCAGTGGCATAACTAAACTGCAATTAAACATGCTTGAATATAACTTTTAAATCATTTTATCCCATCTCTGACGTAACTTCACATGCCCTTCAACATGACCTAAGTGTGTATTTGCGAAATAAGAACGATCTTATGCTTCTGTTTCGTTGTGACATTCTTTGAGAACCATTAAACAAGCCCACGCGACTAGTTTACAGTGATGCTGGTTGTGACTACGGTGTGTTACTGAGCACGATTTGATGTTGAAGATCATAACACGTGTTTTTACCGAAGTGGGCGTTGGACTTCCTTTGCCTGTGGTGAACATTCAAAACAAACGCTGATAATTTATGCATTGTCTTTTAAACTGATTTGCCTACGCTAGAGACAGCCTTCTTTATGGCCTTATCTCACCAGTGTCAGACCACAGAATGCCAAAAGCCGAACAGTACAAAGACAGGGTGAGCAGAAATGTATCATGGGACCTTTTTGCCAGTAACAAAGTATGATTATACATTAGAATAGGTTTTACCCCTTTCTGGCAATAGAACAGGTGTTAAAATGTTCAAACACCACAGAGATCCCATGATATTGCTGCTCACCCCGAGCTATCAAGGCTCTGATACGTGCATCGTCTCTGTACCGTTCGCCTTTTTGCGTCGTTCTGCGGTCTGACACTGGTGAGATGAGGCCATATAAAGAAGGCTGTCTCTGGCGTAGGCCAATCAGTTTCAAAGGCAATGCATAGATTATCACAGTACGTGTGCGTGTTCTCGACAAGTATGTGCAAGACTTGATTGCTTGCAAAAAGTGTATATTTGGAGTTTGGACATCTACCACCTGCTGTATTGCCAGAAAGGGTAAAACCTATTATTACACTAGTCAACATACTTTTTCTGGCATAAGGTATTCCAACGGGTTAAGGTAATTTTGGGGTGCCGATTCCAAATCTGGCATCAGTTTTTGTCCATCACGTCATGGTTTTTGAGATGTCAAATATTGCATTTTCAATAAAAACTGCAGAAGAAAAATATTAAATAAATGTGGATATCGACATAAAATGATATTATAAACACACTATCCTAAAAATACAGCACCATATTTTAACACTAAAGCAGTCACTGACTCGCAACAACTTGCAATCATAAGTGACAGAGTTAATTTCGGGTAAAATCAATGAAAATGGTGTATGCCGATAGCATAAAAATGAGATGTGATTGAGCAAATCTGAGATCAGATTTGGAATCAGCACCCTGAAATTAGTCTAAAACAGCTGCAAAAGTCCAGGCGAGAAAAAAAAGTTTTTTTTTGTTGACCAGTGTTATTTTTCATTCCTTTGCTTGTTCCAACTTCGTGTTTGTTTGGCCACTTCTGCTTCTGATGCTTTCGAACAAAAAGCGCTGATCTCTTTTTTTCTGGTGGGGGGTTTCCAATAGAGATAAGAGTCCAGATGTTTTTGGCTTAGCACGTCTTTATTCTTGCCTTTGTTAATAGGTCCGGTTTGACTCCATTTTCTTTGGTGGGGGAGGTAATGAATGTGAATAAATGTTCCCGTTGTAAGCGCTGTCGATGCATGAAACTTATTTCCAAAGAAATCTTTATGAAAATATCAACAAGAATGTGTGCCCAACTAAACCAATCAATTGACGGGCAAATTTATCCCGTGTAATCTGTTAACAACAAAGCAGTTGAACACAATGCAATAAAATGTAAGATTCTATTTTACGATGAACAGGAGTGTTAATGGGATGTCTAGGCATACTGATTATCCTTTTTTTTTACGATGCGCACGTGCTTTTATAACACGGGGCACCGTGATATGTCACTTATCTGCCGGGTTGTAAACGTCGGAATTTCAGAATTTGTCCTTGTAATTATATCTTTTGCAAGTTTGGGTTTATTGTCGCGGTTGAGACATTGCAAGCAGAAACCTTGGACCGGTGTGACTTGTTATCTACGGCTACTTTATACTTTGTATTTTTCACCAGTTTTTTCGCCAAATGTGCTCTCCGAGTCGCGTCATGAGATTGAAGAATTCACTCTGATATTTCTTAGAGCAGTTGCAACGCCTGAGTGTTATAGAACAGCCCACGGAAGTGAATATTGCAGTGTCCACCTCCCTTTAAGCGATCTCTGCTCCAAATAGAAGCTGGCAGAACATCCCCAATCCGCCTTGCCATATGAGAGACCTCTTCTTCGAATGGTAGTAAAACCAAATCGTTTTTAATGGTCAGGAGCTAGAACTGAGCTCAAATAAGTGCAAAACCAAATCTAATGTGTTGGTGTTTTTTCATATATTTACAGTCAATGGCAACCGGGCTGAGAACTCCCTACACTTGAGAACCCAGGTTCAATCACAGTCGACTGCCTATATTTGAAACCAGGATGTCGGTCGTGCCAGTTGAGTGCTCCGTCTTGTGTGTGTGGCTACTCACTGCCTGGGTGTGTTGCTACCCGGTGCAGGCTGGAGTATAACCTGACCACTCGCACCACATCCAGCCCCAACGGGGTCCAAGTGCGAGTTCCCGACTTTGGAAAAACATTCCCGGTGGAATTCCTGGATCCCAGCAACGTGTCCGTTGGTAAGCATAAGTCTGAATGCTTTAACTCACTTTAATCTCGTGATCATAATTTTTCCGGTAAGTATAAACAACCGTTTCTGGATGCTTAGTCAGGCGGTTTGTGGGTTCCTGTGTGAAATTGTGTTGTGTTAATTGGCAGAGTGTACATGTACAAAATTCTATTTGCTGGGTCAGCGGTTTCTGGCTTTGTGCCGCATACCTGGTAACGTTCGTCTTGCTCTATCATACAACGTTCTTTTGTTGTTGAGGGGAGGGGAGGGTTCGGGAAACATCGCCTCGAGTATTTTTAGAGTGTCGTCTCGTAGAGGCAGGAGAACAACACACGTTTTGATGGAATGAAAATGCCTTTGTCAGCAAAACAAGCTCAGAAATATTCGCATGCATATTTGTAAACTAAAACAAGCTTGCGCATGCAATATACTACACACACGCAGCCTTTCGTCACCGGTGACAATGTCCTCAAGTGGCGTAGGTCATCAGGGTTGTTTGACCATACTTCACCACGATGGTCAGTTCGGGTTGGTGAAGGGGGGGGGTCTTAGTGGTCCAACCGCTGCACTGCAATTCCAAAACGAAAAGCTCTTCAGGTAAAGGGGAGTGTGTGATGATTGGGGGTCAGCACCCACTTCATCTCAGCTGCTTGATGGAAAACCTCACGGTGCTGGCCCTGGTTGCACAAGGGGAGGGGAATGGTGGAAATCTAGAAGGAGTTTACGATGTCCATATTTGGGTTTCATCCCAGGTAGGCGTGTAACAGTGCTTAGGTTCGTATATTGCGATAGATGCTTACATCCATGCACGCATGGAATCTTGCGTGTCGGAATATTTTATTTAATAAGTCGTGTAAATTATGTGTAAACGCTATGCTAATAGGATCATTTATATCAATGGCAGCGATAAAATAATACGAATGAGACACGTTGAAGAATATTACAGATCAGACGATAAAAACGAGAAAAATACATTGATTCTTCAATCGAGTTGTGATTCCCAATTTTGGAAATTCATCGATGCATTGGTAGATCTCATGTAAATTGGTACACATGCCTGCTGGTCACAGTAAATAATTTGCATTTATGCTAAAAAGGTTGAATGAAAAAATATGTCATTCCTCTTTAATGAAATTAAAAACACATGCCAATCGACGCGACAACCTTGCCTCATGAAGGCAGGAAACCCAGCCCCCCTACAAGCCACACCCACCGTGATAAGGCTGATGATTTTTCGATTTAAAGCTTTCGTGACTGCAGGGATTCATCTTCTTGGTTCTTTCGGTAAAGTCACGTAGAAGGGAAATAATAAAATAATATAAATTAAACATAATAAAATACAATTCTCACGACGTTTCGGCCACAACGCAAGCAGCCGTCCTCAGGTGAAGAGCAGGTTTGTCGGAAAGACAGCGTCTGAATGAACACCACCAAGCTTGGCAACGTATATTTAAGCTGGGTTAGAGGAGGGAAGGGCGCCTTGACACATGAATTTGCATATCAACAGGAATTTAGCATATTTATGGAAAATGCAGATATGAGATTAGTCACTACTTGTGTAATGCGTAGATGGTGGCGGGGGCCTCAAAGTCATATTATGCCCGTGCATTATGGGTCTGTCCGATTATTTACGCTAATCGATCCAATTACCCTTCAAGAGTTAATCGATTACCTAACCAATCGGAGAGACGAGCTCCGGTGTCGACGTCATTCGAGTGGATGCCAAGCGCGCGTGCCCTGTGCTGTCCCCGCACAGGAAGTTACTTCCACACGCTGGTGGAAGCCATGGAGGGATGGGGCTACAAGAGAAACCAGGACATTCGCGGGGCCCCCTATGACTGGAGAAAAGCCCCCAGTGAGTGGCGCCCACTCATCCCGCCCCCCCCCCACTTCCCAACGAACGGAGTCTTCACATTTTTTTCTGTGCAGATGCTGCAGCCTGCAATCCTTCCTTGAACTGCCTTGTAGTTCTTTACGTATGTATGTCAAGACTTCTTTCACAACGTACGTGAACCAACTGTGCTAATCATCGCAGGTGTTGCTTGTGGAGTCCATTGCAACAGGGGGGGGGAAACAAAGTCAAGTCTCGTGCATGATGGAGTTATAAAGATGGTACGGCCAAAAAAAATAGCCATCGGCCGTTGTGTAGATATGTGTGAGGGCTATGTTCCGGGTCGTCCAAAACTAATTTCAAGCTTCATTCGTGAGTAACAAGGCTTTATAGTATTTCTTTCAGCAATGCTGTAGCTGTCACTGCAGCATTGCGTACTTACTACATAATAAATAAGTATATATTACAGCCTTTTGGCAATTTATAGCTGCAAGTAGACCTCCAAAATTCTGTGTCGGTCATGGTAAGGGTTCATGCGACCTTAACCGTTGACGAAGGGAGGAGGACCCAGCGAATTAGTTTGGAACTCACTCACAACTGATATTATTACCTGTGGCACGGTATCAAACTCAGGTCTCGGGTTAACGGTGCAGTTCGCTAACCGCCGTGCTGACCAATGCACTTTTACCTTGTGCAATAACAACAGCACCCTTTCCCTTGCGTCCGCCACCCTATCCGCATCGTCCGGTGCCGCAGATGAGAACGGGGAGTACTTGGTGAATCTAAAGAACATGATCGAGGAGATGTACGCCACCTACTGGTCACCCGTCGTCCTGGTGGCTCACAGCATGGGCAACCCTTACATGCGCTACTTCCTCGGACAGCAGAGCCAGGCGTGGAAGGACAAGTTCATCCACAGCTACGTGGCGCTGGGGCCACCCTGGGGCGGGGCCGCCAAGACGCTCCGCGTGCTCACGTCCGGTGTGTGACCGCTGCCCCCACGACCCCCTTGGAGTGGGCGATGGGACACATTTGCTTATTTCAGGTTTGAGTTTTTTAGTTGATGTGTGGGTGATCTGGAGGGATGCTGCCATGGTACGTAGCCAACCGTGATAATCGGAGGTAATGGTTTGCAGCACACTGCACTTGCGGTGCAGAGGTTGCCGGTTCGATCTCCCAGCGTGACAGTTAAATCAATCGGTTTCTTAAATCCCCCCGCTTCTGTCCATCCATCAGTGTGAATGGGTACGCCACATTTAATAAATTGGCAGGTGGCGTATGATGGCTCTAAGTGTGGGTAATCCCACCTCTCTCAAGGATGAGTAGGCCAAAATGCCCACGAGGGAGCTGTCTGGAGCGCCCTCTAGTAGGGGGGAGACCCTTTTGTGAGTGGTCTCATGAGCAAACAATTTAAGGGCCTTGTGTGGAGAGTCTGGTTTTGTAAATCCCTACACCCCACACTGCCCTACCCCATGGCGCGTGTAAACGAAGCACACGAGGGTACCCGTAATAAACTGCCTCGAGCAGTACATTTATTGCGGCACCTTTATAAAGCGTGACTGACGTACAGGCTGCGCCCACACTTGGTTAAACTGGCATCCAAAACTTAACGGCGCGGTACAAAACCCGAGTTTCGCATCGTTACACCGAACCTTCGTCTTTGTCGCGCACAAACAGGAGACAATAACGGCATCCCCGTGATCAGCACGCTCAAGATCCGCGCTCAGCAACGAACGGCCGTGTCCACTAGCTGGCTGCTGCCCTATAACACCTCGTGGCCTCCCGACAAAGTGCTGGTGTCCACGCCCAAGCGCAACTACACCAACCGTGACTACCGCGACTTCTACAACGACATCGGCTACCCCGAGGGATGGCTCATGCGCCAGGACTCTGAGTCCTACTTGTACGGGCAGCCCCTGCCAGGTGAGGAGACGGCGGGGAGATTTATGAGAACTGATTTGATTACAACGTTTGTTTACCCAGGAAAGCCTCCCAAATCTCAAGACACTTTTGTTATGAGAGGGTCCTGCTAAGTTTTCGCGAAAGGAGGCAGCAGTTGCCAAGTCAGTTTTCGACTAAGTTTAAAAATTTGACAGACGTCGTCGGCACGTTGTGACCTTTTTTTTCTCCAAAATAATCTGACAATATTAAAAAAAAACAATTATTAGATTTTTGCTCTACACATGAACAAAGATCGAAAGCAGGAACGTTGGGAGAATCTCACAAGAACTTTTACTTCCCGGCGTGAAGCGAGTAGTGCTCACTGTTTCTTGACACGGGTAACACAGCCGGGAGTATTAACCTCAGTGGCCTTGGGCTTGTACCGCGAGCCTCTGCAACGAGCGGCAAACGCGACTACCCCCTCAGCCGTGTGTCGTGTCACCGCCTGCGGTCTTCGGAGAGGGAACTTTCCGTCACTGCGAGTTGTGAGTATGGACACAACATCCCCTGATGTGCGCGGGGTTGATGTTATACTTATTTATTTGTTTGAAAAATGTTAAGCTAACTCCTATTGCACCGTGAGCCGAGCCCACATTGCACAGTGACCCCAAGGTGAGTTTCCAACCGCAGCTCACATTGTTGGCGAGGTTGCAGCTTCACCCATTGCTGTCAAAAGCAACCCCATTGCTGGCACAGAATCATCTAGCAGTAGATTAACAACATTGTAAATTGGTATTTACTTAATATGGCTCCCCTGTGCTGCCCAAGATGTAGCACCGCAGCAGCCTGCAGTGCACATTAGTCATCCATCGAAGTACTATCCAGGCAAGCCACGAGATGGTTTCAGGAGAGAGCTTGTGTAGTTTCGCTCTTCCTCTGCCTTTGAAGGAGCGAAGACTAACAGTGGTTTACCGTACGGTCCATAGTTTTGGTTGCGTGGCCACAATTGCATGCTCTGGCTCGTCTTTAATTTTCCATTCATGAAGGATGTGAAGCCACTCAGAAAATGATGAAGCCGGTGATAATGACCTGAATAAAAAGAACACATTCCCTTCTGTGTGTGTGTGTTATCCCATCCCGCGTGTGTGCGGTTAGCGCTCTGCGCTACGAACCCGACAACCCGGGTTCGATCCCGGCTCACCCACCAACACCAGTGATGATTATCTCGGCCCCAAATAAGTACCTGGGTGCGGTGTGTAAACGTCGCCACTCGGGAGACAAAGGTGGCCGGGCGTGGTACTGGCCACCCACCCCCTCATGTGCCGTGCCGTCCTTCATAGGTGTTATTCGCTAACAGCACTTGCCCCAACAGTCTGTTAAGCCTATACTGGGGATCTTTGTCTTTGTGTGCGCGTGCGTCCTTGCCGCGGTTTTCCCCACACCGCTCGATTGTGCGCAGGCGTGCCGGTGCACTGCCTCTATGGCACGGGCGTGGCCACCCCGGACTCGTTCGTGTACGACAAGTCGTTCCCGGACCACGACCCCACGCGCGTCATCACGACGGACGGCGACGGCACGGTGAGCTTGGCCAGCGCGCTGCTCTGCCGGGACTGGGCCGGCCGCCAGCCACAGCCTGTCCTGCTGAGAGAGCTGCCCGGCGCGGAACACGTGAGCATGCTCTCCCGCGCGGACGTCATCCAGTACATCAAGGGCGTCATCTTTCGTCACCCGTAAAGGGAGCGGAGCTCTCCCGCAAAGTGGCACGGGCGGAGAACAACGATGTTTGGCGCGGTGGAAATCTGAAAGTATCTGCGGTCGCGCGCGTGCACCGAAGCCAGCAGCGACGATCGCCGTGGTTTTCAGCGTCGCGCATCTCACAAGTAGTTTTGCAGAAGTTGTAGCCACTCTGTTTGCGAGAAAGAGTTACAATGACGTCATGCTAATTTGCAGCTTGCAAAACAAATTCTGCTTCAATTCTTTTCAGCCGTTCCATGGTACTGTGACTTTATTTTCTCAATTTTTTACAAAAGTTTTCCCAAGTATTATTAATACTTGACATTTTTGATGTAACGATACTAATATGTTTGATCTTTTTCATTTACTGTACATCACAAGTTACATTAGCCATACTGTAATTCCAATTTGACCATTTTAATTCTGTGCCAAGTTATACGCCGCTTCATGCCCATTATCGTAGGTATTATTCTCTTCCAATATTTTGTTATTGCAAATAAGTAAAAAAAAAACATTAAGCCAGGCTTATTTAAGCAGGGCATTGTAATCGGATAATATTCGTCGATCCAGACCTCTCATTTCCTCATCGCCTTCTAGTTGGGAGGGAAAAAAAATGTCGACTTTACACGGACCCTCAACAAAAACTGAAGCAGGTGAAAAAATAATAATCTTGGAGTGCAGATTTCTGCCTGGGAACTGGTACAGAAGGACAGAAGCCTGCTCTGATTCAAGACAAAGCAGCAGCCTCGTTCATTCACAACCAGAGCGGGGGGGGGGGGCATAGGGGTGGGTGGTCAACGCATAGCAAGGGAGACAGCGGAAGTCCCCCGCCCCCCCCCCCCACCGCTTGCCACGCGCTTGACGGTAGCTGCTGGTGTTGCCAGAACGGACAAGCAGGTGCAAGTGCTAGCCAATGCAACAACCGCGTGGTGCTTCTGTAAATTCGTAGCGAGCGACGGCTTTTCGGCAGCTTGCGGTGCGGCCTGTAGTTTTACGAGCCGCTTAGCGTTTTGTGAGGTTTTTTTTGCGTGTGAAAAGGCCTTTTTTTTGCCCATTTTTCTAGAAGGTACCTATGGAAAGATATGGGGGAAGGGCGAAATGACAGTGCTTTTGGTTACTTCAAAGAGACCTACAGGGTTAACCGGTTGACACCAGGAGGGGAGAGCGAGACCCCGCACTGTGGTGAGGTGGGTGGGTTGTCATTTTCTGGTGGCTGCTCAACTTGCTACTCCGGTGGCTGATTGGGAGTCGTGAGAAAATTGACATTACGCACCATTGCGAGCACACAAGTTTACACGCCGCATAAGTGCCCTCAGGAAATGCATGGTTTTGAAAGATTAAAAGTGCGGTAAATGAAATTGGATTTTTTTTTTCAGCCACTCGTGTCCAGGGGTGCAATGAACAGGTTTCAGGAAAGTGTGGACATTTTGGTAAACGTGTGAGAAAAGTGCCAAATATCACTCGAAATATTGCGGGCCTGGACCCTTTTGGGGGCTGTTTTAAGATGCCGTCGGTCTCTCTGAAGTGGCAACGGTGAGCAGAGAAACCCACGCTCGAGTGGCTGCAGTGTTGCAGTTCGTCACAATGTCGCCGCGAATTTAACCCGAGTCCTACGCGCAAAGTTCATAGGTTGCTTGGCAAGAACAACCCCCGTGGTCCCCTAACACAAGCCTACACACACACAAAGCACAGTTTTGTGCATGTTTACAGAATGCCGAGTTTTTAAATGCGTCCACCCGCTTACCAAGTGTTAACGATTAACTGATCTCAATGTTAAGAGACATTTCAATACTTTGAGACCGGTGATAAGGGACACTGACAAAGTTGCTAATCATGTGAATTGCATTTCTACCCCCGCCCCCCTCTGTCTATTCCTTTTTTTTACCCAAAAAAATATTTGTTCTTGTATGCATTTACATATGTATGTTGAACTTTTTTCGCACCGTACGTTGCCAACCATTGCTAATCGGAGGTGTGTGGGGTGGGGGATGGACAACAAACTAAACACAAAAATATCGTTCTGCTCGTGCTGTGGCTTTCTCATGTCACGATACAAAGTGTCACTATCGGATGTCATGCAGAGCTTTGTACAACCCCTTCCCGTGGGAGAGACAGCTCGTGGAAGTGGATATCACAAAACTACATCCCGACATTCCCTTGTTCACGTGACCTCTAGGCTAGTAGGGGAGGGGGTGGGGCAGCACTTTCCTACACTCACTCTGCCGTAGAGAGAATAATGTGTTCTTAACATGACGGTCAAACAGTCATTTTATTGCAATTACACGTTCACCTATTTTTTTACACGTTCACAGTTAGATCACAACGACATGCAACGCGTAATTACATGTGGCGTGATGTAGCCCAATTGTGATCTATAAGGATGCCTGCTTATTGCCATTAATATGAACGTTGGTAATTTACTTATGTTTGTCAGTTTTATTTTATTTCATACATGTGTAATTAGTGTCCACAATGGACACTTCTACAGTTATATCCACAGTAATTACATTTCCTCCTATAAATTGCAATTTGAATGCATTTGCCCCATGCATTGGTTGGGTGTTTTACAGACTTGTATCACCCTGCCCATATTATACGGTCCATTGACTCTGGCCGTGACTCCAGCGGCGTGGCGTGAGCGACTCGGTCGATGGGCAAACCCAGGCCAGTGGGTGGCGTGGGTACAATGGTCTGCAGGATGAGGAACAGGTGACGGGGAGTAAGGATCGTTCTCAGGGTCAAACATGAACAGCTGCTATAACCGGTTTCCTCTTTGATGTTTTGAGTTGGTCTTGTGCGTTAGGGTTTTTTTTTTGCCTTGTGGAGGCGTTTGCACAGTATTGTGGAAGGGTTGTGGGGTCAGTGTTGATTAAACGGATTTATGTTTACTTTTATATCCATAATAGAGGTTTTTGGGTTAGATCGTGTAAATATAGAAATGTGCCATTAAAACCCGCCACCACCCGACACAGCCAACTAGGTTGTCACGTAAACAGAACGTGGCCAATTCGTCACTAGTACAGCACACCGGTGTGTTGGAGAGCCAGGCCACAACATTTACACTTACAAATGTTGGCTGTGTCAGGTGGTGGCAGGTTTTAACGACACATTTATACATTTCCGCGATCTAACCCAAAAACCTCTATTATGGATGATATTGGTCGCGAAAGCCTACGTGTTAAATTTTACTTTTGTTCGCAAAGTAATTGTTTCGGGTCGGTGTGTCATCTTTAACAAATTCGTAGCAGGAGGAGCTGACAACTTTGTGAAGTGCGAAGTGTCGCAGGGTTCATGAAAAACTCAGGCCAATCGGTGGCTTTGTAAGATAATTGTGTTGCGCCATTTGACCAAGTGTGAAAAATATCATTGTTAGTTCAGTGTCGGTTTACTAGCAACCAATCTTCATAAGCTATAGAGTGACTTTAAGGTTTGTTTGTTTTTCACCCGAGAGCCTATGCCCTGTATATAAGGGCAACGGGGGGGGGGGGGGGGCACACGTAGTACACGTGGCCTCCCTGGCCACGTGTGCCCCGTTGCAGTTGCATCGTCTGCACAGGAGATAGTAGTGCCACCACCTGTGCCCATCATTGCCCTGCTCGAAATAAAACGGCGTTCCCAGAGTGTTTGCCACCGCTGTGGATGCAAGTGGTGCACGCACACCAGTGCTTTTCGCAGCTCATGAAAGAGCTCCATGCTCCTGTTCAAGTCCAGGTTTAAGACCGCCTCGATATACTCTTTCAAATTAACGTTCCCACTGTTTCTCTACGGCCTCGTGAGATGTGGTCGCATTTAAATGCGACTGTGTAAATCCAAATTGCATTGTAAAGATGTGGTTGACCTTAAAATATGCGATGTACATTAAACCATGCAAACTGTAAACTGAACTACAGTTTCGTTTTGTCGATGGTCGATCGCTATTATAGTTTGGCCTCGATGCATTCCTAGCCTTTGCTTAATTTGCAGTGGGAGGAAGGCCATGTTATTTATTTTGTCAGGAAATGTTTGTTGCATGTGTTTTTCAATCCCTGCTTGCTAATGCAATGGAACTCTATACACCCCACTAACAAAAGCATTGAACTGTAAAATTAAATTAGAATGTAAATTTTGCAAAAGTGGGCTGTAGGGATACGAGCTTTGGTATTATATTACCTCATATCTTGAACACGTTTCTCCGTTTTACTTTACGGAGGTAACGGACAGCGGTGGCGTGTGAAGACTGCTTGCGTTAATGCCACGGGCTCGTTGTTTCGTCTGATTCGTCAGTTGCAGCGGAGTAACTAACGTCGGTGGTTTGGTTCTACTTCATGCCTTGGCGTGATGCGAATTATATTGTCACCGCCGCAGGGCTTATTTCAGAAGTTTCCGCACACGATTACAGACGATTGATTCAAAAAGTAACGTTCCAGTTAATACATTTCATATATATATACACTCGAAGAAACAGCAAGATTTGGCAGAGGAGATCTAAAGTTACGTTACATCAACAGATAATGGCGTTATCCATGACTAGGATTTATCTTAATTGCTTACATAGTGTTGTATTAGTTTGCTATGACAAAGCCTAACCATTTTTAAGATTGTGTCATGCTCGGGCAAATTAACACCGATTCGTTAATGTCGTTATTCGTTTTAAAAATGCAAAGTCAAACGGTCGGCCACATTCACTATGGGGCAATAATCGCTGTCCCGATGTCGCTTTCCAAAAGTCTCGTTAGCTGCAGTGCACTTTATTCTCCACGACGGACACGACACGTGATTGATTGATTGACTGACTGGCTTTCTGGGCACGGGCTCGCTGTGGACACGGCGATCGCTTTCAATCAGCTCCGTGCCGACCTGCTAATGTCAAGGAAAACCCTTTAGGTGTGTGTAGGGAATTAGGGGCTCTATTCCGTCTTGGGTTTACATGGCTCTCTTGGGCTGCCAGGTGGGGGTGCCGCTCTGTGAGCCACTTGCCACTTCTCGTCGTGGTGTTCGCTTTTTAAATCCTTTATATTAAGTTCACTTGCTTGCGCGCTTACGACCGTGCAAATCTTACGGTCGTTTTTGAACCCACTTCCCGTGATCCAATCGAGCTGACATTTTCCACACAGACTCGTTGTGCGTGACAATTAATTTTCGTGAAAAAAATGTGCAAAATTTTACACTTTTTAGGAAAAAAATAATTATATTTAATTACCAATTGCTTAATGCTGCCAGGCAATCATCTGACCCATAGCTGGCAGCCATCTCAAGCCAGAGGACGATAGGACTCTAGCCGCCACGCATATAAAGGATTTATAGTGAAAAACTTTGTTTTTACGGGTTAATTTTTTGTCGATTCCTCGCGCACACAAGGTCGGAGGGGATTCCGCGGCAGTGTGCGAGGGTGACGACGAGAGTGGCGGGGCTGGTGAAACATCGCGCCTCCGATGGTGACACGGTTGGCCATGTACGGTGCGAAAAGGGTTCTTCACACCGCAGATGCGTGACCACAAGGGGGCGGCATGGTACCGTCCGCGTTCATCAGTACGCCTTTGCAGACACGTTTGGGTTACGCCAGTGGCAGTCAAGGGAAGCAACCCTGCACACTTTGTCAGCCTTCCTTATTTCACTGGTAACCAGATATTGCTCGTTTTTATTTGCCATTGAGCGTTATACTTTTTCAAATTAATTTGCAGCCCAAATCGAGTTCGGCAAACTCTGTATGATCGTGCGAGTTCCGTGCAAGAATACGGCTTCTGTGGCCCCATTGCAAAGGTTCCCCGTGAAAGTGTCGAGCTAAGCTGATTTAAAATATGGTTTATTTTACCAGGTAAGGCCCACTGAGCTGAGCTATATGGCCCTTTTTCAAAAGCGACCTGGCCACAAATGATAGCTCAACTACGTGACTTATCATACGGAAATGTATGAGCAGACATATAATATAAACGCATGTTTCTAAATGTAGAGGGAAACACCGGAGGACCTGGAGAAAGATCCACGTGAATGACGTGGGGGGGGAGAGACACCGCAAACTCCCAAATATACAGCAGCGTCAGGGTCGGGATTGAACCCACGACCTCCTGTATGCCAGGCGAGGCAGTTAATATCGCCGCCGTGATTTGCTGTGGCCCCACATCACGTGGCTGGGTTTTGTGTTACTCTCGACAAATCTTTGCCACCAGTTTATGTCAGACGAGTGAGTCCCAGATAAAGTAAAAAAAAACATTGCATCTACCCATGGAGGCCTCAAAGTGGCATTATATTTTTTTTACGTCTTGTTTTTCTCGAGATATTTCTCAAATTAGTTTCTGGAGTATGATCCAACAAACCCCCACCCCCCTCCCTCACTTTAGATTTTTCTCTTGAAATGTTTAAGCCGATTGCTATTGCCAGTCGGCCACACTCTTGGTTACCCCATCAGAGCAGTGGATTCGCACGGAAACGGATGTGGACTCGATTTTAACGATCACTTATTTTCAATTGTGAATGCGGTCAACTGTGGAAGGGCATTACTCTACACGTGTAGAAAGCAGGCGTTACGCCGCGTTCGGACGATTTTTTTTTTAACAGAGACTGTAAAGAGGCAGTGCGGCAATGAAATCTGTACAGTTTATTTATATGCGCGTGTCTATGTAGTGATGATGAGCGCCTCATGTCATGTGATCTACAATCTTTGCCCGGGCATAATAATACGTAATGTCCACTCGTGCCGCTTTTCAAACGTGATGAGCCTTTTAGATGTGCTCATTGCGTCGATGACGACAATGATGTTGATGATGTTGATGATGTTGATGATGATGTCACACTGGATCCATGGTTTCTAACTTGCGACCGGCACATCTCGGGGAACGGTGATGAGAATCTTGTAAACACGGAGCGCACAATGCGGAGGGGGGCCTGCTTGTTAGCAACTATTATTATTACTCTTTGGTTCTTTCGGTAAAGTCACGTATAAAGATAAATAATAAATTAAATACTAGCATACGACGTTTCGATTGCAACACAAGCAATCGTCATCAGGTATAAATGAAATAGAAACACAAATCTAGTATACTTATAAATGTAATGTAATACAACAGAGAGTCGGATACCATAACAGTCAACACCCTACCTGGTTGATTACGTTCTTCTTGAGAATGCTACATTTGAGAGAGAGATAAAACACAGAACCAGAGACATTATTATTATTATTTTTACGAAAGGCGAGTCTCTGCGCACCCGATCTAAGTGAATGTGCTGCCTCGGTTGTGGAATAACATTGTTGACTGTTGAGTGTGCTGTGCCTTGACGCGATTTTCAGGCTGTCACTATCGTCGTTACCTTTTCTTGGTGGTTTCCACCCATGATGAGAAAATTCTCCACTTTTAAGAATAAAAAAATATATTCTCATTTGCTGCGTCCTGAAGTGCATTTTTACGGCTTCTTTGTCAATTTGATCGTCGAAGTGCCCCATTCCCCCCCCCCCCTCCCCCAAATGCTGGTAACAGCCGTGGATATTTGACCATACTTCACCACACTGGTCAGTGCAGGTGGGGGCAGAACCGCTTCAGATAAAGCTTACTGCTGATTTTTACAATGCGGCATGCTAACCACTGTGCCACCACTCCCCACCTCGCACAACTGCATTGGAGAAGAAAATATATACCGTACATGTAAATATGTCCTGGCTTTGTGATCGTATTTTAGGAGGATTATGCTATCCATTCTTTTGATGTTTGTTTGGTCTGGTGTCCTTCCCCTGCAGCTCTCGACTAGCACGGTTGGCTACGTACGATGCAAATGAAGTTCAACACACACGCATGTGCACACATTTTCCAAAGCCCTTTTTATACTTGTACACAAACGACAGTATTCAATTTAAATTAAAAAGGGGGTTATTGTTAAACCCATTGTGTTTGTCCAGTCTACCTGGTTTCCATTAAATTTCGATTTGAAGCTTTCGTGACTGCAGGGATTCGTCGTCTTGGTTCTTTCGGTAAAGTCACGTAGAAGGTTTCCATTGTTTACCCAAGTCAAACGGATCTGAGCGGTGGCTTTGTTGCTTAGGAATGAATGGTGACAATATTTACCAACAAGTTAAACGTTATCCAGTTTCAGCTGCGGACGAACGAGTAAAGATATACAGTGCAGACCGCTGTGTTCGGAATTGCGGCGAGCGGATATCGCGCGCGGATTGAGCCGTCATCTGCAAGGAGGAATTTTTTTGTGTGAACTCCCGTTGTGTTGTGATTGGAGTCTATTAAAACGTTGTTCTTGCTTAAATGTTCCCCGTCATTCCAGTTTGTGCGCTCCTGTTCGGAAACCCTTGGAGCTCCCCGGTGCATCGTTCTCACCACCCCAGATGGGCAGAGAACGGCCCCCCACAATGGGATTTGCATGCGGAGTCGTTGAATTTAAGACCTCCCCTTATCACGACAATAACGCCCTCTTTTACATTCTCAAAGGTGGAGTTTCGCCGCAGGAGTAAATGGCTAGCACAAATCTTTAATGCGACGGGTGTTACTTTTTTTGGTGCACTCGTTGCTAACCGGGGTTGAGATTTGCCGTTATTTCGGTAAAACTTGCGAACCCGGTTCAACCACGTGCAGCTCATAGCTGGATTCAAACCCAGGGATGTCGGTGACCGCTGACGGTGATAATGATTTCAACTTGTTAGGCGCCGCACAGCACGGGGATTCGCTCACTCTCGGAGAGAGAACGATAGAGAGAGGACGACATGGAGAGAGCGAGATGACTCTGGGAGAGAGGGGACGACTCGGAGAGGAAGACTCGGGGAGAAAGGACGACTCGTAGAGAGAACGACACGGGGAGTGCGAGATGACTCAGAGGACGACACGGAGAGAGAACGACACGGGGAGTGCGAGATGACTCAGAGGACGACACGGAGAGAGAACGACACGGGGAGTGCGAGATGACTCAGAGAGAGGACTACTCGTAGAGAGAACGACACGGAGTGCGAGATGACTCTGAGAAAGGGGACGACTCGGTGCGAGAAAGGACGACTCTGAGACGAAGAGAGAGGGGACGACTCAGGCGCGAGGAGGAACTACAGCCGAGTGGGAAGGCTGTAGCAGCGGCAGCAGCAGCAGCGGGCACCTCTTTCTGACACGGCCATTATGACCCCCCCCCCCCCCCCCCACGGTACACAGGGTCTGCCTGCATCACAGCCGACTGCGTGTGAAGTAAAATCTCGCGACCGGTTTTTTGTTATAACTCGGGGATGGGGGGGGGGGCTGACAGTTTTCTTGTCGCGTTCAAAACATGTTTTAAACTAAGCAGGAACTTTTTAAAATCCTTTATATTAAGTTCACTTGCTTGCTTGCGCGCTTACGACCGTGCACATTTTTCGGTAGTTTTTTAACCCACTTCCCGTGATCCAATCGAGCTGACATTTTGCACACAGACTCGTTGTGCGTGACAATTCATTTTCGTGAAATAAAAATTCCAAAATTTTACACTTTTTAGGAAAAAAAAATTATATTTAATTACCAATTGCTTAATGGTGACAGGCAATCATCTGACCCATAGATGGCAGCCATCTCAAGCCAGAGGACGAGAGGACTCTAGCCGCCCGTTTCAAAGGCCAATATGGGCTGGGTTGTGGCCCATTGAACACGCATATAAAGGATTTATAGTGAAAAACTTTGTTTTTACGGATTAATTTTTTTTGTTATCACTCGGGGATGGGAGGGGGGTGGCTGACAGTTTTCTTGTCGCGTTCAAAACATGTTTTAAACTAAGCAGGAACTTTTTTATGTCTTTTTTTAATGGGACCATCAGATATACGCAAGTCGTGTGTGCGTGTGTGTGGTGTTCTCGGAAGGTTATCTCGCGGTGATTATCACTCGTTTTGTTCCCTTGTCGGCAAAGTTCCTGAGCGTAGCTGCTGCGGGATGGCGATGAGTTCACGGTGGTTTTGCGAGATGCGTTTCACCTTGAAGCCTCCATAGACCGGGCAGATAGGGAAGCAATAACAAAAAAGGTCTAAATATATATTTGTTGAATGCGACTAGTCGCAAATTGGCCAACGTCACGCCGATTCAATGCATTTGTGCGTTCTTGCACCTGCCCTACAAACTCAAGCGAACCCGAGTTCAATTCCCAGCCACGGTTAACAATCGCTGTTCAGCGACGTCTGAAAGGAAACGATGCTGCTGGGCCCTCCACCAACGAGCGTGGTGAAGAAGTCGCGAAATGCTGTCGGGAAAATCCTACTCCACGCCCGTCCATAGGGGTGGGGGGAGGGGTGTGGACTTATAAAATCTGACACTTTGACGTCGAAACGCATGCCCCCCCCCCGCCCCAACAGCGCGGGGCCCGGGGCAGTCACCCCGATTGGCCGTATCCTAGGGACGGGGCTCTGATGATACCCGATGATAAGCTGTAGGGTTACGGTATCCGTGTCTGCCTGTGGCGATGTTGACCACACGTCGCACCAGGGAGTACTCATCTGAGGCTGAGTCTACCTAGATGAGGGCACAGGTGTTGGCCGTGAGCACGAATCCACATCGTAGCTGTCAACCCACACGGTTCACCCAGTATTCCTGTGCAGGGAAATTGAGTTTTCAGGTCTAGACGGCGTACAGCCGCTTCGATGCGGGCAACAACACAACATTTGTGTCTGTCTCTACCTTGTGATGGAACTTTGTAGGATGGACGCTGAGATTTATAAGGGCACCGGGTGGCCGCTAAGGTCTGAATTGGTCTAATAAGGTAGGGGCACTGATAAGGGGTTGGCAGGTATGATTCTATGAACGGTACTTATGCAATTTGAACTTGTATACAGTAATTTTTGTTATTTTTATTTAGCGACTTGCTTAGCTTTCCTATTCTTTGTGCTCCTGTCGTGTTTTTGTTTGTTGTTTTTGTAACCTTCTAACCCGAAACGGACTGGACATCCGTGAAAAATGAGCTTCATAGCTCATCGGATTCTTCCCGTCTAAATAACGGTTCTGATTGTAGCGCAGAGGGTAAACCCGCGGTGTGTATGCACCGTGTGTTGAACTTCTTTCGCACCATACATAGCCAACCGTGCTAATCGGGATGTACCCACAAAGACGAAGATCCCCCGTATAGCCTGAACAGACTGTTGGGGCAAGTGCTGTTAGCGAGCACCTATTATTGCAGGCACGGCACACGAGGGGGTGGGTGGCCAACACCACGCCCGGCCGCCTTTGTCTCCCCAGTGGCGATGGTTACACACCGCACCAGGTACTCATTTAAGGCCGAGTCGACCTAGGGGAGGCCCAGAACCGTTTCATAAAATCGTCACCGAGTATTGGCCGTGAGCGGGAATCGAACACGGGGTCGCCGGGTTCGTAGCGCAGCACAGCGCTAACCGCTCCCCCACCGCTCCCCACACTCACAGACTCCACGCAGACACAGCGTGCGGTCACCGCGCTCGATTCGTTTGGAACAAAGCGGAGGGAAGGCCGCGACTCCAGCTGCTGCTGCAGCATTCGGCCACGAGGCCGTGAATAACGAGGCGGTGTCAGCGTGGAGGCAGGGAGTTGGGACGGAGGAAACGAGCGGGGAGGGAGCGGGGGGGGGGAGCAGGGAGGGAGTGGGGGGAGCGGGTAGGGAGGGAGCGTGGAGGGGGTTCAGATAATCATCACTGGTGCTGGCCATGAGCGCGAATCGAACTCAGGTCGACGGGTTCGTAGTGCACTGCGCTAACCGCTACGCCACCGCTCCCCACCCTCTCACGCTCGCTCATGAGTAAGGAGAGCGGGATCGATCTCTTGAATTGATCCTGGTCTAGGATTTGGACTTGCACTCCTTGTAAACCGGGAAGCCAAGCCCTCCTGCCTTATATAACTGTACAGAGTGCTTTAAAAAAATGTTAACACTTTCGAGAATTTGTAACAATGACACAACAAATGTGCCTGGAGACCATCTGGAGAAGATTCCAGGCGTATTGTTGACAACGATGGCGAGTAAGTGGAGGCTCTTTGGCTTTTTGAAGCTATTAACATTTACACTTGTTATCACATTATAGTGTATTAATCATCATTAAAAACGACAGTCCCATGTAAATGTTTAATTTTTTTTGAAGCACCCAGTGTAACCGGGAGCTCCTTCGCATCGTCAAAAAACTCAGACAAAGATCCCCCGTGTCGCCTTAACAGACTGCTGAGGCAAGCACTGTTAGTGAGCAACACCTATGAAGGCCGGCACTGCACGCAAGGCTGTGGGTGGCCAGCACCACGCCCGACCGCCTTTGTCTCCCTAGTGGCGATTTTTACACATCGCACTAGGTACTCATTTGAGTCTGAGTCGACCTACGGGAGGCGCAGGACCGGTTCAGATAACCGTCACTGGCGTTGGCCGTGAGCGGGAATCGAAAACCGGGCTCGCCGGGTTCGTAGCGCAACGCAGCGCTAACCGCT